TTTTCTTTTTCTCTCTAATCTTTATCAACGTCATAAAAACCAGGTTTTGAGCCTTCACAAACATGAGGCTTAGACCCTGCAGTTCACTCCTGCAGATGTTAGCATGGCATGCTACAGCCCAGCTTTCTGTATATTGACATGAGAATACCTTGCCGATCTCATCTTGCCCATGGAATTTTACACTATTAATATGACTATAGCTATCTGTATCTATACTTATACACATATATATTACTACTTTCCTTGCCTGAAGCATCCTCACTGAGGGGGTACTTGAGCAATGATAGGTGTAGGTTAAATGTATGTAGTTGCAGCATGCTGGACAAACAGAACCTGGTTGATGCAGGACATGGAGCCTGTCTTTACAAGCCACTGTCATGGTTTAAACGAAACCAGGACAGCTCCTGAAAATGAATAGTGAACCTTCACTGTATCCCATTAAATCCACCAACATTTAGGCCACCCAGGAGATGACAACACATTGGTAAGGAGATTCTTACGGTACCCAGTCCTTTCAGTCCTATTAACAGGCAACAGCTCCATCACTCCTCCTTCAGTAAGAAGTATATGAAAAAATTCTCTACACCATCCTGAAATGCATCAGAATCCTTGTGCCTCCTTGTCCCTGGTTAGCCCAACTCTAATCATCTGATTCCTGCACCAGCAAGGAGGGATTTCCTCACTTGACAGGACCATGGATAAACTTGGCATAAAGTAAAGAGCATTAATAATAACAGATGTTGTAATGTTTTGCTATGTTTACAAGACCCCCGTGTGCTCCATGTATCATTTGAAATTATATTGAAATGATTGATTTTCATTTAATTAATACAAGATAAAACATTTGCAGAACAGCTCAAGGCTTTTGGAAGATGCAAATAAAGAGCTATAAGTCTGTCTGAGAACTAGGTTTGGGCGTGACTCCACCCATTAAAAACTTCTACTCAATTAAATGCAAAACTATAAGTTTGTTTCAGTTTCCTTTCTATGCTAAAGATGAGAGCTGCACTGAGATTCTACTGGGAAAGCAATACTTGTTAAGGAAAACTAAAGCATCAGAGTTAAAGGGAAAACAGTTTTAAGGTTTATTTGAAAACTATGCAGTAATTTATGACTGCCTGAGCTTTTCTTTCAATGTCTCTTCCCTTTGGCTTTTATTCAGCAAGCTGCTTAAGCCTATGGCTTGTTTAAAGCAGGCAGAAGATTAAAATCGTTGTTGAACTGGGGTAGGAACAGTTACATGTTAGTTCAGCTCAGAATGATAAATATTTACTCGTATAAGCGCTATGCAAAACTTAATCTTTAACCTCATGAAAACTCTGACATGAGCACAGGACTTGTATTCTTGCATAAGCCTCTCGAGAAGTTCTCCATGTACACATGGTGCATGAAGGGCACCTTTATTCAGAAGCAGCTATGGATCTGTAGATCTGTGATGATTCATTGAGCAATTTCTGGTGATCATGGAAACCTGGAATTTCCTGGGGCAGCAGCAGGAGTACTAACATATTTGGCAAAGGAAATGGATTAGCTTTGTTTTTTCTGCCAACCAGGGGACATCACATTCTCCCTTAGCATGTCAAGAAAGGGACTAGCAGTCAGCCTTTGAGTGTAAGTTCCTTCCCGCTTTCTCACGTGATAGCTTGTAGTACAGGAGTGATGGGACACTGGGGCACGTCATATCCACAGCAACCAAAAGTTGGTTGAGTTTATAGTTTTTATGAAGTGAGTCAACTCATTTAATCCTGAATTGTAGCAGAAAGTTGAGACATGCTAAAACAATAAAGTCTGCAGATTCAACCCAGAGCTCTTAACACATTTTTAATCTGAACACTGCACACAATGAAGCAAGGAAGACAGACAACAGACAGATTACTTACCAGTAACCAGCCCTCTTTGAAATAGGCAGTTCCTATGTACAATGACTCGGTGGATGAAAGTAGATACGCTGGTTCATATCTGAGCCTCTCTCCATCTCCCCAGGTTTGCCAAATGCACATGAACATGGCACCATCTTGGTCACCATGTCCCCAAAGTGGCAGATTCAAAAGCCTTTAATGGAAAAGGAGATGAGTGTACTGTATGTTCAGGCCACACATTGTGAAACTTTCCATTGCTGTTGTTCCTGTCTTTGAGGCCACATACACCTTCATACTGGGAGTACCCCCAAGCTGTAACGCCATGCATTCACAGTAGGTCTTGGCCTCCAGATAGGTGCTCAGCAGATGTCATGGACAATGCCAGTCCTCAGCAAAGCCACCGAGCTTGCCTGGGGCTATTGTTGAGCACATTGCTGTAAGTGGTAACTAGTAAAGGGCTGTGTGAAGGAGCCACTACATCTCTCCTCCTCTGCAAACAGACTGCCATGAACTACCCTTTTACAAAGCATCCCCATAACAAGTCAGGACATTAATTTGGGCTCAGAGGGCTGTCCCATGAGAGTGCTGAGTGCCACATTCATGTCCCTCTGAGGATCATGTAAAGGTGGGAGTAGGCTAATCAGTCTTTGGAGAAAGCATCTAGCACCATACCTATGTAGACAGGCGGGTGTTCAAAACCCTCATGTAGGTGCATTGAGAGAGAGGACAAACCAGGTTCCTTTGGTTGTAAAAGACAGAAAAAAAACCAAAACCCAACCCAAAAATCTGACCAAAATGCAGTGCTCAGGAGCACTCTGGATTTGTAGATTTGGTCCTGGTGAGTTATTGCCTCAGGAGGCAGAGCCTCCCATTCCCTACCCTGTGAGAAGCTAGAGTGACTGTGCTCCCCTTTGTCACCTCAAGGAAGCTTAGGTACTGGTAGCATCACCCGTGTGCTGGAACAGTGAGTGCCACAGCTACTTGGCTGCCACTTTGAGCAGAAGTCTAGGAAATTCAACTCAGTGGGAGATGAAAATTCGTGCCCTGCAGTCCCTCTTAGGCTATTCACCTAGAACAGCCTCTTCTAGGTGGGGAGCAACTCTGCATGTCCCTTTCTAAGCACTCCCACTCAAGAGGCAGAAACCTTCTTTTCCCTCCTCTTTAGCAACTGGAAGATTTGAAAAAATGCTTTCCTGAAATCAGGCTCTGAGCAGACTCAAATTGCTTGAACCACACTTCTTCTAGTACAAGCAAGGCAGTTCTGGTTTTTCACCATATACCAAAGCCCCATACTATTTGTCCTCCCTATCCTGGAGCCGTTCTACCACCATTTCCAAAACTGCATTTCGCGTACACTGCTGAGAAGCCTTGAGCTGCCTTTACATTACAAAATATTGAAGTCAGCTGAATAGTTAGGAATGTGGAGGCTGAGGAAAATTTGAGTCATAAGCAACCGTATTATTTGAGTGAGGCTCTTTGCCTGACTTTGAAAGAAATACTCTGACATCTTAGTTATGGGGTGATTTGAAAAGCTTCTTTTAATTTTTTTTTTTAATTTATTTTTCACCCCCTAGGTTGCAATTTTAAAGCTTAGTCCCTGTATCTCTGTAAACCTATATGCTGGTTTGTCACTCATATCTCACTGTTGCCTGCTTTACAAGTGGCTAGGCACTAGTATAGGCAGTGCAGCAGTCTGAGATGCATTGATCCAAACCTTGGCTGTGACAGCAACACTGAGGTGAAGCTATGTCGACAGATTTGGGGTCTGTTGTATTGCTACTCTGAGCTCTGTGGGAATCCAAGACACAATTGTGGTATTTTGGAGTAAACATTTTAAAGAGAAGGAACAATTTTCAGTGAACTGTAGGGAGGGTGGGAGAGCAGCTTTGCTGTTAGAAGAGGAAGCTGGAAAGAAAGGCTTTTGTTTCTTCCTGCGTGGAGAGGTCACTCAGTGTCTGTGAACTTCCAGTTACCTCCTATAAAAAATATTACAGCTGTTAATGTGACCCATTGTAGTGCCCAAGTACAAAACCGGACAAGCTGAATGGCAGAGCTGGTCTTCTGGTTGTTGTTTTGTTTTTCTCTGGGAAGAAATAAAAAAGAAGCAGAATAAAATGGGTGCAAATTGTAAAGTCTTTTCTCTCCATTTTAAATTGATGTAATAAAAGCGGCTAATATATAACAGCCACACAGAGAGTAACACAGAGGGGGAAAGGAATAGTAAGGTGGCCTTACAGCTTAAGAAACAGAGCTCATTAGGGTGATTGCAGTGCTGCATCAACACAGGATTAATTCCCCTTTGTGCAGTACCTCATTTAGAAGTGGTTTGAGGGTCTCTGTGGGGAGTTACCTGGACTGTGCCCTGGGGATACGTGTTTCCTGTGGATGTACATCTGCTCCTGGGAGGTGCCCAGCTTCTCTCCCACCTCTGCAGCGGGGACCACAGCCAGACCAGCTGATCAGGGTGCTTCCCCACAGATCCCTGTGGTAGACGGGTGATGGCCAAGGATGCACTCATGGAAAAGCTCTGGCTGCCTGTTCCTCATTGCCCTCTTTTTGCAAGGGAGTGCTGGTGGCAGGTGTGGGTCTGTCTGTCCACCAGCTTGGATAAGAAACCCAGCTGTTGGGAAGGAAAGGGAAGGGGAAGGGGAAAGGGAAGGGGAAGGGGAAAGGGAAGGGGAAGGGGAAAGGGAAGGGGAAGGGGAAAGGAAGGGGAAGGGGAAGGGGAAAGGAAGGGGAAGGGGAAGGGGAAAGGAAAGGGGAAAGGGAAAGGGAAGGGGAAAGGGAAGGGAAAGGGAAAGGGAAGGGAAAGGGGAAGGGGAAAGGAAGGGGAAGGGGAAAGGGAAGGGCAAAGGAAGGGGAAGGGGAAAGGAAGGGGAAGGGGAAAGGGAAGGGCAAAGGAAGGTGAAGGGAAGGGGAAGGGAAAAGGGAAAGGGAGGGGGAAAGGGAAGGGAAGGGGAAGGGAAAGGGGAAGGGAAAAGGGAAAAAGGAAAAAGGAAAAGGTAAAAAGGAAAATGGAAAAGGAAAAAGGTAAAAGGGAAGGGGAAGGAGCAACCTACCCCTCCTGGGCAACCCAGCTGGGTTACATCTGCTCTTAAGGGCCTCCTGGGAAAGGTGGGAAATGGAGGAATTAATTTGGTTCCTGCACGCCCAGCATCTCTGAACAAACATGCATGCCTTGGTCAATCGTGGCTCTGATAACTCCTCCAGGCTCCTTTCTAATTCTGTAACAGAGAAGCTCGCATTGGCATGGCATTTGCTGCAGCCAGCTGTGTCCTACTTGGAAAACGGCACTTTGCTTCTGCTTCCAGCTTCCCAGTCTGTCCCAGCTTCAGAAGAATCCTGTGGAAAAAAGTTGAATATCAGGTTTGCATCAGAATAAATGTATATGATGGTCTTAAATTAACATCATGCAGGGAACCTTATTTTTATACTTCCTAAATTTTAAGTGCCTGACTTTGCACCTTATCAATATTCATAGGGGGGTTTCTTCCTTTGCATTTTGTTGCTGTTACGAGAAGCTCTGGCTGCCCATTAAGCATTATGAGCAGTTCCCAAGAAACCCGCAGGTTATTGGGAAATATATTAATTTGTTCCAGATCTCACTTATCACCATTGGTTTTGGAAGCCAGCAACTTTAAAGCAGAGTTGCAAATCGTTTCAGCATGCTAAAACCCACAGTGGTGTTTAAGTTCATCTGGATATGCCATGTGTCTTAAACAGAGATGTGCATTTTATGTCAAACATTCAAAATGACCACTTAAGAACATGGGAATTTATTTAAATTTTGGCTGCCCGGTAAGTGTTTGACTATGTTTCCACTAAATAATAATGACATCAAGAGCTTTGTTAAATTAACCACAAGACCAGTATGCATTTCCTATGGCTTTCTCAGGGGACGTCCAGTACACTAATCCTGCCAAAAGGCAACATGTTAAAATATTGCAGGGACTGAGTACATGTGGAAGAAGACTGCAGCTGACAAACGACTGCCAGGCACTAAAGTCCAGTGCAGACCTACGTAATTTAGGGTTATTGCTGCTATTCTGGAATGTGAAATAAATCCAGCATCAGTTTGATGTCAGCTGCCCTGCGGTGGACTGATCACTAGAATATGTAGCTGAGGATGCTCTGCCAATGCTGGGAACTTCACAGCACATATGTTTTCCTACCTCTTGTGTACCATTGGGTTTTAGCACTGAAAACTGCTGCCCCAGGCCATGCACACAAGTAAACATTGGCTGCTGTTTTTTGCATGTGTATGTAAGTCTGTCTTTGCTCAAAAATCCAACTGGAAATGACTGTTGAAGTTCCACTGTCTATCTATGAAAGGTTTCAGAGAGTTGATCTGGCTATAGAAATAATAGTGTGTTAGGTATAACATAAAGAGCATATAATTTGATAAAGAGTTACAGTGGATTTCTTGCAAGTAAAACAATTTGATAAAATGCAGAGCTTAAAAATAGTTTATGAATGGGGGGGAAAAGGTCTGGATTTGTTATGTTGCTGGCTATAACCAGTTTACTTAGCTCTGATGCTGAACCAGCCAGGTAGTTACACTAGTGTCCAAATGGTGTCCAGCTCCAGGAGCGGCAGAAGCGGTGCTGAACACGATGGAGGTATGCATAAAGTATAATATCCCCTCTGGCACATATCTCCCCTGCCTCCCGGGCACTTTTGGGCGCTACTGCATGTTCATAGCTTTGCCCTTGGGACTAGGGGTTCAGAGCTGCTCCAAAATGATAGAAATTGCCCCGCTCATGAAACACTGGAGATAACCCTATGAGCAGTCATGCTTCATGCTTTGGAGTTAAATACCTGCTGCTCCAGGAAAAGCAGAGGCATTTGTGAGTATCTGGCAGTGATACTTTGCTGGAAGATGGAGGAGCAGAAAATGGACAAAATTCTATGCATCAGTTCTGACCCTTGGACAAGGGAAAATCAAAGCTGAATGAAGGGAAAGGGAGGGAAAATTCTATAGGCACAGAAGGGAGAGCTTCAGTGACTGAAGGTTTCTGACTTACTGTATCATCTGTGTTGACCTGATCCTCTTCTATCGTGTCTGTTCTCTTCATACCCAGCTTCATAAGTGATCTCAAGGAAGCACAATATCTGAGTTTCACTAGAAAATTGCTATTTATTTTTTTTTCATTCCAAATAGCCAGAAATAATGCAGGCATATACAATAATGCAGACAATGGTAATGCCCCTGAAAGCACCCATAATATGAGGGTAGGGTGTGGAAAAGCTAAGTTTTTGCATTGTGACTGCTTTCTATATCAGTTAGGTTCTCAGGGTTCACTTTCTGGCAAATTGATGTCTTTTTATGAGCTTTTTATGAGCATACATCTTTTATCTTGCTAACAACCACTTGTTTTGTGGTAATACTTAAACAAAACTGAAATGACTGTATTTCCAACAAACCATTCCTTCAGTGTATTCAGAAACATTTATCAGTGGTACAGCATCAAAACTGGTTTTGGTTCTTAGCTTCAAAAACAGAATAACCATGCATTGCTCTCAAGTAGCAGCATTTTAAAAGATGACTTTTGGCACGGAAAGAAGGACATCATCATAGTGATGTTGCTAAGTGCATATTTTTTTGACAGAAATAAATTTTGGGTGTCATGCACTCTATGATAATGTGTTCATTTGAAAAAATAATGAAGGTCATTCTTAAGGAAGTACCTTATTTTATATGATGTAGAAATTGTGATTGATATATTGGCATAAAAACACTTTTAGCAAAACAGTTTGAGGTCATAGAGTGCATGGATACCACCACAGCTGATGCCAAAAGAGGTAATTACCACACTGACAGCAGCAATAGGAACAACTTCTGGCTCCACAGTTGGTTCTTGACAGGTCAAGAGATATTGCCATTCCTTTCTTCCTTTTCCTTACAACTTTGCACCTCTCCTCCACCAAATGCATACCAGCTGATCTATTTTCCTTCCTTACTTCCTGTACCCAAAAGACAGTCGCTGTTGGATTGCCATTACCTAGCTGTCTGAGTTAATTAGGCATGCAAAAGTAGTAATTGTCTATGTAGTTACCTACTGTGATGGCAAGCATTTACACCAGGTATAATCAGCAGCTGCTGACTTTCCCCTTGATAGAGTGATCAGTGCATCAATCAAGTAGGTGTAGCACAGGCTGGGAATCGCAGCTGTAGTGTACGGCCTTGATGAACATATATCTGACTCCACACTCACTTGTCAAGCATCCAAGTGAGTCAGTTGTGTTGCTCAGCGTAGAAACCATTCTGGCTGTGTGTTTATTATCACTCTCAGTGAAGCATTAGTAAAGTTATAACTTTTTGTGGTATTGGAAAGACAAGAGAATAAATCTGTATGCCCAAGTGACTCCTTGTGGTATCATGTTCAACAGGAGTGAAGCATGCCCATTCCTGAGGTGTTATGGGGGTGGCCAGGGCAGCTGTGCTGTAATACAAGCTTATGATAAGGATAGTTCGGGACATGTTTTTTTCATACTGCCTGGTTTAGCCATGAAATATAAGTCCACTCAGAAAGTGAACGATTGCAAGTAACAGACCACATTTTTACTGACTAGTGACTATTTCTGGTATTTGCCCACTAGATGGCTGCAATTGTTGAAGGTAAGTACCTTAGACGCTTGGAAGGGGCTTCAGTCATCTGAATCTACTTTCAAATCTACTTTTTATTCTTTCCTGAGCTCTTGTACGTACTTTCATTACTTAGAGATCATGAGAACTAAGAGACAGTAGAGGCCTGGAATTCCTCAAATCAAAGTTGTAAAACCTACCTCTTGGTGTAAAAGGTGTAAAATCTATTTCATCTTTGGCAAGTAAGAGCTTGCAGAAATGTGTCCAGTTTTATCCTAATGAATTGTTGTGTCAAGCAAGAACTTATGAGTGAAAATTGAAGGCTACAACGAATAGAAGAAGGACTTATCAAGAAATAAACCTTTTCCTAGATACTAGAAAATGTAGGGACAATTTGCAGATGTCATGATCCTCACTTAAAAAAAGAAATAACTGGAAGTAACAGTAGGTAAAGCAAGATGTGTAAAAGAAAATGGAAGAATTGTTGCATCTGTTGTACATGAGGATATTACAGGGTTTAAAGATATTATAAGTATTGTGTAAAAGCTAAACAAACACTTTGTCTCAGCTTTTAATAATGATGTTGGCCATGAAGTAAAAAGTGGGAAGGTGAATGGGAATAGGTAAATTAGAATGAGTGTGGTGGAAATAAGACTCAGATAAGCTGCTCAAATAAGACATGGTAGATTACATAAATACATAAGAGTCAGTTCAGTGGGCTTGACTGAAAATCTTCAAGCCATGCCTCCCAGTTCAGGAGTAGTCTTCAAACCTCCAGCAGTTTGTGGCCCAGGGACTTACATACCCACAGTAAGTGTGGGGAAGGTTGTATCTATTAACCTTCAGTTTCTTCCTTTTTCGTTGACTCATTCATGTGCCCCTCATCTTTTTTCAACTTTAGTTGTCCACAGTGTTTCAGGACAAGAAATTCCAGAGGTTACTTGCAGCTTGATTGAGATACAACCTCCTTATGTTTGCTTTGAATGCATCTTCTTCTTGGATTGGAAGAGACAGTGAGGAACATGTAGTCTCCAAGTCCTCTCCATGTACTCAAATCAGGGCACTAGATAATCTTCACCTGTAAGACCAGTCAGAGAAGTGTAGTTCTAGCAGCAAGGATTTTCAGCACGGCGTACTGCTGACATACAGAATAATTAAGGAAATGGAGGTAAATAGAAAACAGGACAAAACATTGCCTTGATTGCTTAAAGCATTCCATATTGACCTTTTTTTTTTTTTTTAGAAAACTAAGTGATTTTCTACCTTAAGGAAACATAGCATGTCCAATATTCTTGGTTGCTACTGAAGTATCTGATATTGTACCACCTGAAAAACTGACAGATTTGAGAAGATGGAGATTAATATGAGATACCTGAGTTGCACATAAAGGGAAGCGACAACATGTTGTGCTGAGAAGAAACCTGTCAGGCTGCAAGGAAGTGCCCTGATACCATGTCTTGGCACTGGTACCGCTTAATGTTTGCTTCATGAGCTTGGCATAGAAAACAGGAATAAATTATGAAAACTGACAGTGAGAAATAAGAAGAGAAGCAAGTCAAGATAGATCATTGCATAAAGATTACTTTGAAGATGACTTCAGCAAAAATAGGATGGAATTTAATACTAATAGCAAATTATTGCATTTGGAAAGCGTTAAAAACATCTGTTATAATCTTGGTCTCTGTGAGAGGTAATAGGGACTTAGAAACATCAGTGTGATTTAAGAGTGAAAATGTTACTTATCCTTAGATGTTTTGTCAGGTCTGGTATCCTAGGTGGA